TAATATCCTTCACTTTGTTTTATGTTGACTAACGCTGACTATTATTTTATTTTATTATTTAATTATATGGTCTATTTTAATATCACTAAATCTGTTAAGAGCTGGTAGGTTTCCTCCGTTCTATTATCTTTTTGTTAGCTAAATCGCATCCTGATTGTTGATAAGTGATTTCGTATGAGATTTTTTGATTATGGGATATTTCTTTAGCACTATTTAGAATAAACTTAAGATCATTCATCCCGTGTTGTAGTTACCCTGAAGGCTACTCAAATATAACATTTCGTCGCTAAGATTTCAAAACAGAATTTTAAATTTCATTTAACTCCCTTTGGGATTTAATTTCTGAAAATCCATTCCTAGTATAATCTTACGTAATCAGATGAATGTAGGTACTCCCCAAATTTCAAGTCCCTACAACCAGATGTTGAGGCTGTAAATTGTGTCTAACTCAAGTAATTAGTATGTCAAGACAAAGATTGTTATAGTTTTAGATATAATTATATCTATATACGTCAATTATTAACCGACTTCAAAAAAGGAGGATCTCAGTTTGACCTGTATTTATGTTTGTGCGCGATTATCTCGCATCTGGCTGATCGATTTCGATGCGGCTTTCAGCATAGTATTTGTAAGTTTTAGGTATACTAACCGACTAAAGAAATGGAGATTCGCACTTTAGCAAGGATTTGTCGCGGTTTTCAGAAAAGTATTTTTCGTGTTATCTATTATATAAAAAATATCAATATCAAAAATAGGGAAAGATAATACTTATCTCACTTATTCAATAAAATGCTATTATAAAGTCATTTATACTAATCTAAAGTGTCGTCCACTATATAGATACACGTCCAGTCAATAAACAATTAATTAATCATACAGCAATTAAGCTACATGAGTCCGTAGATTGCTTATATTTTTCAAGCATTGGTTTATGAAAAAAAAATGTTTAAAAAAGGTTTTACCTATAAAATCGTTTTTTTCTTATTAACATAAACCTATTTATTTTTGATGAATCAAATAAAGTTGTTATAAATTATTATAATTAAGATTGTAATCAAGGACATTTTACTAAAGCTTCACAAAATTTCTTGTGACGAAATGTTTAGGTAACCTAATCTTATTTTCCGTTCCAGTGAGTTAGTCAAAGTTTCGATATTAAATCAGAACATCTTTACCAATACCAAATATTAAATTGAAATTTTAATAAAATTTCAGTGATAGTATTATTTATAATTTAGTTTTGGTTAATCACAGAAAGAGTTAATGTCCATATTCATATTGCTTAAATATTATAAGCTGACAATAAAACCATTTTAAGAAGCATTTGTAATAATAAAACGAAAATTAGAATTTTACTTTTATGTACTAAAACATTGTTTATTTATGGACACAGTTATATTATTTTTTTTTTATTTATTTATATATACAGGCATACAAAACAGATTACAGTCAAAAAATGTAAACACATACTTGACAAAATAATTGGGTCTGGACTACAATCTAGAACTATGCGTACACAACATGGTAATAATAGTTGTCTCTATTGTTTTATTCCTTATTTAGGTGCAAAGCTCTCTTACGCTTCTTTATCTTACTAATTGCTCGGTAACAGTGTGTCAATGACGTCAAAATTATAGCTTAACCTGCAACTACAAATGTATGTATGCATACCAACAGTGCAAGCAATAACATAATGATACCAACTACCAACCAATGAAAATTCTCGCCATCAAATATTATTTTGTCTCGAGATTAAGAGTGTCTTTTTAAGTTTAGACAATAATTACGATAATTACTTCTTATGAGTATCAGCTAGTATAGTCTTGCGATCACATATAACACGACGAGCACAGTATCACCACATTGTGCCTAAACCTTAAGCAGTTCGATGTATTTACTGTACGTTAAAATAACGAAGAATCAACGCATGTGAAATTTAAAATTCCATAAACTTAAATTGCGATAGAATAATCATCCACAGAGGATGTTAATTTGTTGTATATTATTTTTCTCTTTGTTTATTTCACCCTTTAGTTTATGAACTTATGTATCATAGCGTTTAAGATTATTTTAGACTCAAGGCACATTAAAAAAAAAGCTCATCTTTCTATGTTTTTCCTATGTTATATTTTATTACCAGCTATGAATATAGTACATTTTTAAAAGCTTTATTACATTAGTTTAAGTTTATTTTTGGTTTGTGACGCTTGTAACGGTTAAGGTTGACCATAATTTACTTGATTCCTATTAAATTTTGTTGAAATCGAATCAGTATCTGATTTTAAACAGACTACTTTCAGGATGTGCGTTAATTATGTTACACGTTGTATAGCAGTCCATTTCAAACATAAGTAGTATATTTTTCTATATAAAATAGAAATATTTTATGGTTTTACATAACCGATTAACTTATATGTCACCGTCCATGAGGTCTCAGGTTTTATTCCCGGCCGGGCTTATAAAGAAAATGATCTTGTCTATATTGTCACGCGTTTATTATGGTTCTATCATTGTTTCGGAATTCCATAACACAAGGGATTTAGCTACTAAGATTCTGAGCATTTGCGTTAGCTAATATTTTTTTTTGATAAATTAATTTATGAATACCGAATTGGAATAAAACAGCTTGATAATTTTTTGGATTTATTTATTGAGAGTCCATGTTTGTAAACAGATCTGTAAACTTACAAGTAGGGTCCATTTAAAAAAATATAAATATTGCTACAAAAAGTTACTGCAGTAAGTATATGTGGCTAACACAATAAAAATGATAAAAAAACAATAATTATATAGCTTACGTTTCGATATTCAACAACACTATTGTTACCAACAAAATAAAGACATTTCTATCTCAGCATATATAACATAATTTGATTATAAATAAATTACTTTTTTTTTAATTATAACTTTTAATTCGATTAAAGTAATAATTATTGAATATACAATAATTTTCAAAAGGAATACTACCTATCTACAATATACAAGTAACAAACATCTATCTATTTACATTTAGTAGTTCGGACTAGTTCACAATTTTAGTCGAAATGGTGTTGAATGAGAATATGATACAAAATGTACAATGTAAAAGAACACTTTTGTCTCTGGAAAACATTCTCTTGGAAGTTTATGCTTGAAATCGAGTCGAAAATTGACTGTGATATGAGGCTTAAGTATTTTACATCAATAAGTTCAAACGTGTAAAAAACTTTTTATGCGCCGCAAATAATTAAAAAAAACAATTCGTTTATCAATAACCAGTTTCTGTGAATCAATCTGTAGTCTATATAATTTGTAATAACGTCACTTTAAAATGCTTGGCGTAGTGGATAAGCGCCATGGCCGATGATCGTTGTTGTTAAGCAACATGCGCAAGGGTCGGTCAGGGCATGGGTGACCGAAAAATTATTATCTCGAGCTATTACGTCCTTCGAAAGGCACGGCAAGCCGTTGATCCCGACTGCATTTACAGTTGTTAATACCCTTCAATCTGCATTGGGCCCGCGTGGAGGATCATGGCCCATCCTCCTTAACCATCAATTAAGAAGGCCTGAAGACCTGCAGTGGGGACGTATGATGATGATGATAAAATTGTTTAAATAATTTATGAAAAAGATGGCACAGCTGAAGATATTGTTACGCATAAAAATATTATTTGAAATATAAATGAGTATGTGTTATTATTATTTAGTATTATACTTTTAAATAGATTATTTTAAAAAACTAAATCACATAACAATATAGATAGGTTTCCGTGATAAGTGTAAAGTGACTATCTCATTAATTTTCAGTTTTAAAAGGAAATTTTGAACAGTGTCGACTCGATCTCAAGAGCGACAAATAAAAGTGATTTCAAATGGCAAGTTTCTAACGACCCGGAAGATCTGAGCGAAATTCAAAATTTCACACGTACATTTACCTATAACTATACTGTACATGCGGACGTACCGCATAAAGCTCTCTTAAAAAGTTACAAAAGTTTTCAACATATAATAATTAACCTATCTATTAAGTTATTTACAATTATTGCTATCGAATGTTGCGCTTTGAACGCCCCAGTTATTTTTATCAACTGGTTTATTGCCTTCATTACAAAGTAGAAAACTTTGTATCAGCAAATTTTCTTTGTTACCTACATTCCGTTGAAAACATAAATGGTGAATTAATATAGTTGATTGAACTGAACGAATACAATTTTCTCAGTAAGTTTTTCGACGTTATGTTTTCAAGGGAATATAAATTATGAAAGCAATTAAAAGTATTGGCGCCTTCATTGATATGCTGTAATATTTATTTACGGAATGATAATAAAACAATTTCAGAATATCAGTCTCCGAAATTGTAACGAATAACTTATAGTAATTTATCAATCGTAATTCGTACATCGACCGTCCAACAATAAAAATTCTAGTATGTCTCATTAACTGATGCAGTCAGAGTTATTTGTAATATTTATCACAAAAATGAGTATTCCAACATAAAAACATTGTAACTACGTGTCTTTTTATGATACATATCTTTCTATCTGACCAATTAAATTATTAGTATTATACCTTTCACTCTATCAATTATTATAATGGTATTGTATTAACGAAAAAAAAAAAAGAATTTCGATAAAAATAAAGACAATTTACAAAATTTCATATAACTATATAATAATTATAGGTCCATTAGAAACTAAAATGAAGATTTACGTGTTAGAATATCACAATCTACATCGCGCCGCCCGTACACAATAACAGAAAACAAAGATAATGGACAAATATGATACTCAGTCTTTACTTCTAAAGATGTTTTTTTTGTTAAAAATTTAATAATTTCACATTTTCTAATAGGTAAATTGCATTGTCGAAATTCATGGTGTTTGGCGTCCCCGCTTAATTAATATCCAATTCGCATTTGGATGGCAAGTGGTTGGTACCGGCGGGGGGAGCGGGCGGCTGCGCAGCCTGCGCACGCGCCCGCGCCAGCGCCTAGGCAAGCGCGGGCGCGGCAGGCCGAGCTCAGGGGCGGTGAGGGTGAGCTGAACTCAACGATGAACTACTCACACCAGAGTCACTACTCTTTTCCGATGCACAAGGCTCACCTCCAGCTACAAATTTAACCACATTTAATCTATGATCAGACTCGCAACTATCATCTCTCGCACCACCTGGTAACCCACCAGAACGTGCGACCGTTCTTTCTCCAACAGTGCCAGGATAACGTTCAATTCTATCACACTCTACATCATCGGGTTGTCGTCGACGGACAGACCTTTTTGCTTGTGGTGCCGGTTCCGGTGGCCTGTGAGTAGGTTCGTCAGCTCTATGAACTAACGGTGAAGTTCTAACGCGGACTCCACCGACACCAACACCAGCCTCATAGCACCCAGAATCTCTAGGAAATTGGCGTCTACCAAACGGTGATTCTCCGCCTTCGGAACTTGATCCACCGCCTTCGCCCTCGCCATCAGCTTCTCCACCTACAGAACATCAATATTTTCAACTTAAGATAATATAATGTAATCGTGTTTAAGAATTTAATGCTTTGTTAAAAGTTCAAGGCACTCACATTCTAGTTTATGCAGGAGTTGTACAGCAGCAAGGATACGAGTTCGATGGTCAGGTGTCATTATTCCTAAGTAGTCCAAATCCGATGGTTCAATTTCTTTGAAAAGTTCTATGTCTTCATACCCATTTCTAGAAAACGCCACCGTATATTCAGGCAAGTCTATCCTTCTCAATAATTCTTCAACTGTTCTTGGTCTTGTTTCCCATAGTCTTTCGCGACTTTTGCACCATTTTGACGATCGTGATCGAATTGTTTCTCTATCAGATAAGACTTCGACATTAGCGAATTTAAAATTTCCGACTTTGTTATTGAGTACTCCACGCCAGATACCAGATGCGTTCATGTTCACCACTTCTATGATGTCTCCTTTCTGTTAAAAAAATGCGATATGGTTATATTACTGCAATGATGATTGTTTATCTAGTTTGGATATTATGACTGATATTTTAAATTATCTTACCTTGTATCTTAGGGCGTCCTTTTCATAAATATTGGGTATATAATCGATGAGTGCTCGAGCTCTACACAGCATTTGTGGCACGAGTAAACTCCGCCCGGCTGGACTTAATTCTATGTTTTCTTCTGCCGAGAGAGATGAGTGATTACTACCAGCGCGAACCAAAGCTTGTGTGCCTGTACATAAATATTTGTAGACTTTAAAAATATCGATTTATTGCCTACTCTACGACTATCACATAAGAATTAGAAATACCTGGATACGTCATAGCATGACTGTGAATAGGTAGGATATTGTTAATCTAGTGTTTAAGAATTAACATTATTGTAATTAATTTTATTAGTAGGAACATAAACTGTTGGTTTACATGAATGTGTCATCTGTAAGTAATATGGAGGCGTTATGGTACATAGAAAGGAAAGACAAACATATTTACAAACAACATTTATATTAACACAGACAAAAACTTAGTAAATCCACTCACTACTGCCTGATCCGCTTGGAAGACTTTCGAAAGAACTATTAGAACAAGGGAATGCTTGGTCGCCACTTGTCCGCCTGTCGGTGCTTTCGGGACCTCTTTCTTGTCTTAATCTTGATATTTTTCTTTGAACATCTTGTCTAAGACCTCGTACTTTTCCAGCTAGATTTGATACTCCATCACATTCTTCAGCTGACTGAAACGATGTATAAGATGATTTAATTATAAGGGAAAGGGCAATAAAAAATAAAAGCAAAGAAGATGATTGCAAACAGCTAATTTATTTGTTTGTCAGTCAATAGATTGACTATAAAGAAAACACTTTTTGAAAGAAATTTAACTTAAAAAGTCAGCAATTACCTGATGTACTGTTGCTATATGCTGTGAATCAGTTTCACTTTCTTGATCTTCATAATCTGAAGAGGCTGGTGATAATGGATCGGCGCCTATCCGATATCCCGACATTTGCCTGTAACCCCTGCGCGAATCTCGTTCCGATCTGCTCGATTCTAACGAAATGCCCGACAGTCTAGAGCCTATAGATTGAATGTCAGATGCAGCGTAATCCCCGCTTTCTCGATCTCTCGCTGTGCGTAAAGGGATAACAGTGGTTGGATAGGGACCGCTTTGTGGAATTATTAATCCTCTTCGAGGGGCTCTCGCTAAACTAATGTCGCCTGCGCTTCTTAATGATATAACACCTTCACCTCTAGGCTCGTTTCGGAGATTAAGTGTGAAACAAACTCTTCCGTTCTGAAACTGTGCTGCTGGTGTTCCACCACCCATTAGAAAATCCTCTGGGTCACTCTCGTAGGGCGGTTCATCATACCAGTGACCTCTCCCCGTAAGACCTCTTGCTTCATCGTCATACATGTATGTGTCGTCTGTAAACGAGTTCTTCGTTAGACTTCTGCATTATATATTATTCCAATAGTGCAAATAAAAATACGTGCCAAAAAATGCGAAATATATAGTTTACCGTCAAAATACCCTTCCACATAATGGCGAACTCACTGACAACACTGCAGTTTAAGCTGTGTACGAACATTGTAAAGCCGTGCGTAGTTTATGCAAAATATTTGTTTTGATACAACATGCATTTAGCATTTCGCCGCAACTTAATCGGATGGAGATGAATTTATTAAAAATTCTGTATTGACAAAATCACTTGATACGATGTGAGATTTACGTTTTATTGCTGAATGATTAATCCCATGTATGTATTTGGTTAATATATAAAAAATCACCTTTTTTCTCATAAAATGAAAATAAAAATGATGATGAAATGTGCACATTGAAAGCTTTTTCAATAATAGACATCAATCGCGAAAATAATGTAAAAAGCATTCCGCAACGTCGTTTTTATTTAAACTTATAACTATGTATATGGTGCAGGCAACATGCGGAAAACTTGACAACAACACGAAACATTCTTGATTTTAGATATAACGAGTTTTATGGAAATTTATTAATTACGTAATATTCATAAATGACAGTATAGCTTTAAGTCTTAGGTCATATTCACTCAGTCACTTGATTACGCAATATGCTGATACTTTAATAAAGTGTTCACAAATCAATTTCCATAATACGCATTTCATTAAAAAATAACACCAGTAAATAGAAAAAAGCTAAAAATAATACTTTAATCAATTCAATCAAATTATGAAGAAGCAGAAATTTTTAATCATCATTCATCAAAGTCAACTTGTAACCACTTAATATTTGTTATGAAACAGAAAATTGTCTTATATTTAAATACGTACCTCCGAAAGGTCCTCGGACACCATCCCTTCCCATATTCATAAGACCATGTCTTATATCCCGCAATATCTAAACCAATGGAAAGTTATACATTAGTAAAATGAAAGGAATCGTCTGCAACTCTAAATAAATAAAAATACTTCTTCAAAATATTATTGTGATTTATAAAAAGCTATCCATATATTCATATATGTAATAATATTACTTGTGTTTATTTCATTAAATAATCAAGTTCATAAAAGGGATGATCAAGTTATAAATAGAAGCTAAATATAAAGTAGTACAAAATTTGTTTGGATGCTTACAAGTAATATATGTAGAATAATGACGTTTAAAGGCCTAACTTTCAAAAATTTATTAGTGGGAAACATTTCTTTTAAAATGCGTGAACACGGTAATAAATATTGAACTGGAGTAATAAAACGACCACTTTCTCGTAAGTAGAAAAGTATCGAACATTAACTTAATTTATGCACACTTTGTTACGGAGCCGGCGGGCGTCGACTACACGAAAGGATTTGCGTGTCGTTCTGTTCGAGTAAATAAGGTTTTATGTTGGCATAGACTTTAACGTGCCACGTCAGGAAACAACACCTGCAGTGTCGATTTATAACAATGACACTTGCTAAATTACTTAATGCAAAACAAAACTCCATATAGAGAACGAACTTTCGGTTCGTGTCGGAGATTATGTTCATCTATTAAAATTATTTCAATGCGTTCGATATTTATTATACATGATTTCAATTGTATAAATTTATCAGAATGAAGAGTGTCTGATACAAAAATAATATTTCCGATCATAGCACCAATAATAAAAATAATCAACATACAAAACTAACACAAAAAGATATTCGCACACATACTAACAGCTAACAATAAAATCAGCACTAGTTTTACCGACATGTAAAACGTACCGCTGTCATACTGTCTGTCGATAGCTACAATCAGATCGTGCAATGTCACCGATAGTTTATAGGTAGTAAAATTTCCATTTTCGATATTCGTCGGGTCCGCAGTTTTACGAGCCTTTGAAATGTGCTGGGCAAGGGCTTCCGAAGTTTCGTAGGGAAGCGATACAACTGCCTTAATAGGCTTAGCCCGAGATTAGGGCACGATTAGCCCACGGCTCGACTGTCGAATGCTCGAGTCAGTCAGATTACAAATAGCTGCGACCATAGTGTGGAAAACAGCGGTTATCTTTAAAGCTTTATCAGATTAATAACATTAAGGAAACGATGAAATACATAACGATATAGAGGAAAAATATTTTTTCAAAAGTTCTGCCAGAATTTTTGATCAATTTTATAATTTAATTTTAGAAGAGTGTCTCTATTAAAACAACAGTTTCATTATAAAGATTTAACTAAACTGATCCAAATTACCTCTTCTTGTTCTCTTGCTAATTTATCCTTTTTCTTCATTGCCTCCTGGACTTTTAACTGTAACAAAATACAATGGTTTTATAACATTATATCTTATTATGAAAAGTCCGTAACCAATTATTTTCATAGTAGACTTATTATTAAGTTGATCACTATTAGTACCTTCAACAACAAATATGGTAGATTTCATAGAAAATCAATCGCTCGTGTCTGTTATTATAAAATAACTATCTTATTAGAATGTAATTATCTATCTTATTTCTTTGTCTGTATTTTGATAATTATATATGTATTTTAACTACACGTATTTTTAAAGCAAAATATGATTTAAGTTGATACTGTTCAACAAAAAATTCATGCTACGTGCAAAATATACTCTCGTGCACAAATAAAACTATGGGTGCCTCATGAAAACATTAACAAATCATACTATTTCTACAACTGAAAATATACACAAGAAAAACCCTTCCCTTTGCTTCGTTTTATACTTTTTAACTTTTTATAACATTAAGCCTAAAATAAGCAAATTGTATAAAGTAAAATCCACCTCCAATTCTTTGAGCATGCCTATTGAAATTTAAGCCAAAAGTTTATAAAATAGGATCAATTTGGAAAATCTGTTAGACTCTGTTGACAAACCACAAAATATTATTCGAATATATTTTAGTAATCTAGTTAAATAAATTAAATTGAAAATTATAGACTTAATTTATATAACCTAACATGAAAATTGTAGCAGTGAATAATATTATACTATTACATAAAATAAATAAGGTTATGATGATTATTTTAGTCTGTATGTATTTCCAAGTGAATTCTGATTAGAATATTTAATATGATTTCAGATTTGATTTAATAATACCGCAGATTAAGATGGTACCTGTACACTAAAAACCTATTTGTTTGCCAGCCAGAGTCTAATAGAAATCGGTTAAACCTGTTGTATGTTTGACAGAAAACTATTGAAAATATTAAATTGCAAAATTGTTAATTCGAAATATAATATATAATATAATAGTTTAGCGTATGATGAAGATAATAATAAAACAGACTACGTATTTGAATCTTTCTGTAGTAGAAAGGCAATTGAAAGTATTGATAGAAATCACAATAGTAATGTTAGTTACGTAATAGAAGTGTAATCTGTCAAACACGTAGACCAGGTAACCGAAGGCGCTCACCCTATGTATAGTTTCTTCGAAGGTGTTTGGTTGGGCGGCAGTCATTTGTAAGAAGCGGAGGCGGTCATAATCCCTGGGATCGACCATAGACCTCAAGGCAGTGTCCGGGCCGGGACCAAGACCCAGACCACTTTGAAGAACGCTGTCCGGTGTGTCCACCTAAATGAAAAGTTTCATTTACAATGCAATAAGTTTCTAGAATAATACCTTGCATGAATCTATAGAAAATCATTATCATTGTGATATCATGAAAATTGTTAGGATTCAATGATATTTTTTTCTCCATTTTATGCATTGTTTTTCGTGGCTCCACATCTCCTCAGGTAGATGGGTGAAAAGCATGGCAAGACGAGACGCCCTTTTCTTACATATATCAAAACCGCGTACAATTCGCAACAGTGTCTAATCGAGAAGCAGACTCACACAAATTTTGTGACGTCACAAATAGAAAAATGAAAACAGGAGAGAGAGCATTATTTTCGTTTTCAAAGATAATTGTGAGAGTATTGCTGCAGTCGAGGTCAATATTGTTATAAAATTGATGGTGTCCAATAGAAAAGGTGAATTTTATTTATAATAACAAGAAAGATAGCAGAAACTGCAACCTATTGAATATCAAGAATTGACTATTAAAATCAGTATGAATTTATTTTAATTAGCAATTCTGTGTGGAAAATAGTTATAATATATTGTTACCAATACTAGAGAAAAAAAATTAACTTAAGAAAATAAAGCCGTGAGGATCAAGATGTAATAAATTTCAAGTTGGTATCCAAATAAGCCGAATTTCAAACAAAGTAATGGTTCAATTTATCTCAATTCTCCTTCGTAACAATATTTCTTTTTTCTCAGGCACCGTCAAATTTCGTCGATTTATCATATCATCGACTAGTCTTCATGAAGATGGGCCTTGGTAATACATTCCGGTGTTACTTTTAAAAGTAAAAACTTTTTCTCATCTCACTCCAGCTTCCATCATAGCGGAACGTGATAAATTAACATAGCAGTATACCAAAAAATTTACTTGGAAAACTTCCGAGGTAATTACAGAACTAAAAAATGTTTTTTTTTTGTCGTTTCTTCATCAATTCCTTTCTCAAATAAAAATATATATGTAGAAAACAAAATTTCTATTCAGTATCTTGCGTTTAATCAATCGACCACTCATCAAATTATATGCTTTCGCTGTATAAATATTTGCGGGGTGGAACATTGGGAAACACAATATTGAGAATATTTGTATTCACATATTATTTAAAAATAACCTGGTATTATAGTATTTATACCTATTATAAAAACATTAAAAAAATAATTATATTACCTACAATTGGTGAGAGCGTTCAGCCGGATTGCGAAAAAAATAAGTTCAGTATTTTTCTATAAATTAATAATTGTTTACAAAAGTAACAACACACAGTAACGAAACACTGTATGTTAATTGCCTTACCTACTTTACTCACTTTTAAACTAGCTACACTTAAACTGAATAGACAAAAACCTTACCATTTATCATTTTCACTTAAGGACGGAAAAAGCTAAGGATATCTGCATCACAATGAGGCTATGTACGTACGAATCAATTAATCATAGGAGGCACAAAGCTCGCCCATTAACTTCCCACTTGATAAGGGAATAATGCGAATAGCCGACAATAGCCGTTTCTATAATATGACAACCCTACAGGGCTAAACTGGCACCGTACGAAATTTATTGGCCCCCTATCAAATTCACACACATTTTCTTTCCGACGACAATATTTGAAAGCGCACGTTTCGATGGTATTCTTAATGACCCCATATCTCTTGTTATTAAAATAGAGAAATTAATAAATCTTATTTTAAATGCCTTGTCAACTAAACCCTCTGTGGTCAGCGGCAGAACCTTTATTGTTAGAGAGGAATCTACATTATTCGAATGAAATGAAACTTCTTGTCTAATTACGCAATCTAAGCTCTGACTTTAAACATGTTTTATAACTACTGTTATCATAATACTAAATTTAAAAAATATTATTCTAAACATCGAATTATTATGTATATTTATATTCCAATATATTTCACAATCGACGCCGCTGCCTAATAAATGCAGAAATATTGACGGTCAATGGTTAGCGGTTTTTGCTTCTTTTACATCGTTTCTTTTATTACAGGTATTGCATTCTTCTTATCTACCCAGTTTTGTTCGTTATAAGGTGTCATGTTAGTTAGCGGTCATATAAGTCAATACGAGGGTCAAACTGAAAGTTCTTAGAAAATCAAAAACTGATTACATTAGCCAGTTATTAGTTTTATTATATCTTTTCAAAATATTGTCCATTCACGTCAATACACCGCTGCATGCGATAGAACCACTGGGAAAAGCACTTTGCCCACTCGTCCTTAGGGGTCTCTTCAATGGCATCGCGATACGCAGCCACCGCTTCTTCAGCATTCATAAACCGCTTTCCTTTAAGTTTTTCTTTAATTTTTGGAAATAAATAAAAATCACAAGGCGCGAGGTCGGGGCTATACGGCGGGTGACCCAGTAATTCAACGTTTGATGTCGCCAAATAGTCGATCGTTCGCTTGGCGGTGTGCGACGAGGCGTTGTCGTGGTGAAGGAGGATCCTACTGCGAGGTCGTTTCTCTCGAACTTTTTCCAAGACAAGTGGCAAACAATTGGTAGTGTACCATTCTGCAGAAACTGTTTTTTGATCCTCTAACACAATTGTTGCAAAATGACCTATCCTTCCAAAGAACGAGGCCACCATTTTTTTTCCCGCACTTCGATCTCTCTTCACTTTAGATGGCAACTCCTCGAAAGGAAACACCCACTTAGCAGATTGTCTTTTGGTTTTAGGATCATAACAGTAAATCCAGCTTTCGTCACCTGTTAGTATGTCGAACACAGCATTTGAGTCACCTCCGTTAAATCTTTCAATCATTTTACGACACCAATCCACACGATGGAGTTTTTGAGCCTCAGTCAAATTATGAGGTATCCACCGGGCGCAAAGCTTCCTGACCGCTAAATGTTCGTGGAGGATTTTGTGCACTTGACTCATACCGATGCCTAAGCTTGTCCGAATCTGTTGATAGGTCACTCTTTTGTCAGTCTCTATCATACGCCGCACAACACAGATGTTATCTTCAGTCGTCGCCGTAGAAGGCCGTCCCTCACGTAAATCATCAGTGAGATTAGTGCGACCACGTTTAAACTCATTAAACCAGTTGTAAACAGTCGCACGAGATGGGGCTTCATCGTGAAAGGCCAATCGTAGTCTATCATAACTTTCTTGTTGACTTAAATGACATCGAAAGTCATAAAAAATCATTGCACGAAAATTTTCTCGTGTTAAATTCATGATGACGTGACACAGACAATTTTCAATTTGCCGCCAAATCGTAAAACAAATGACAAATGAATGAAATATATACTCAGTAATATTGGCAAAGAGTTATATTTTCAAATTTTAGAATTATTTTTTTATTATATTGTTTATAAGTGGCCAGTTCTAAGAACTTTCAGTTTGACCCTCGTATTAATTGACAAAAAAAAAAGTAGGTGAAAAAAAAATTAAATCGTTCAGGTAGTTTCGGAGCCTACTTATTCAATGCAAACAAACAAACAATGAAATATTTCCTGTTTATAATATTAGTATATATAAATACAATTTTTTAGCTTGATTTTTTTTTATGATGGAGTTGGCATGTTCTAAAGAATGAAATCGCCTTAAAAAATATATAAAAAAAATATCCAGTAAGTAATGAACGTTAATGTTAAGTATTGTCATTAACACAATAATATTCAATATATGAATTTACCATTTCCTGTAAATGTTAATAGACATTTCAAATTGAATTGCATTCAGCATGTTGTGTATCAAGATCTAATTTGTGGTATTAAAATTTCCGTTTTGATGTTGATGCTATAAACTATAACTGGAAAATTTGTAGTGACAGATAATTAATTATTGGTACGTTGGAGCAGTAGTATTGATCAGTCTGTACAAAAAAAAAAATATTCAGGTAAAATAGGTAACAGAAGAAGAAATTTTAGAATAATACTGGTCTAACAACTATATTATATTTCACTTGCCTCACGATAGGAATATCGTGATATATTTACGCAGCAAGAAAACTATAAATACTGATACGCAACTTAATCAATATTTTTATTGAATTATTTAAACTAAACTAAATTATGAAATAACCAAATTTTTAAAATCAAATCATTTAATAATTAAAGCAATGTAGGGTAACAAGCCCGACGTTACCCGACGACGCTGAAGTTATGTAAATAATCTACTCGTCCCTATATTTATTAGTATTACTAACTTTCAGCTCGCGGCTTCGCTCGGTGAATGTTACTTCAAAAATTATGATTATAGCACATTTACGCGGCACAGATCCGACCCAGCAATTAACTTATCATTTAAATTTGAACACTAAATCTTATGTACTTATATACATAAAAAAAACAATGGCAAGCTGTCAAGTTTAAGTCATTAGTACAGACCACAGACGACGGCAAGCCGTTCACTAGCCGCAACGTCGCCGATAACAATAGTTTGCAAGTTGCGGTGTGTGAGCTTGCATCTCATGGTTATCTAGTGGTAATCAAATTTTGAGACAATACTATGCCGCTGCTGAGCCAATATGCTTAACAGGTTATTATATAAAACACACCAAAATTTTACCCATTAAGCGTTGAAATTTTAAATCATTTCTTTACCTACATATGTCATGATAACGATAAGTGCGCCAATTTTCAGCTTGAACCGTGCAGAAGTTTGAGCAGTGCTTTGATAGATCAGTCAGTCACCTTTTTTTTAATAATAATAAAGAATATGAAATTGTAGTAATATTGGTGACATACGTTTTTGTAATTTAGCAACTTTATAATAAGAAACGCTACCAGTAAGCGCTTTAGTTGTGTTAACGGTGCAGAATAGAAGCCCAAGCCGGATGAGTGAGCAAATAATATCGCATAACGAAAACCTTAACAAGTTTAATAGAAAAGTTTTCAGACGCTACAATCTAGACTATTCTTTCGAATTCATAAATATAAAAATCGATTATTTAATATCATAGACGTACTTTTGATAATAGCCTTACCGACGTCGAATCGTTTTTTTAATATTTTTTATCTTTCAAATACAACACCCATGAAAACTAACATAACATTTTAGATAAATATGACTATACAAGTACATCGTTACCAAAATTGTAATAAAATACAATGATAGCAAATGCAAATGTTACAAAATATCTTTTGCGCACAACTTAAAATAAAAATACAAAAGTAACAAATCGATAAAATTGTGTTGTGCAAACACAACAAACTTTGTTGGAATATACAAGGAAAGTAATTTGTGTCATAAACATAGCTATGAAAATATTACCACTGTAAACATGATAAATGGGCCCCGAGGAATAACTTTGGTAGTTGCAAACTTTAATATCGGCAACACATTCTGGAAAACTAAAATTTGTAATCCGGGAAAGAAATTTAATGAATATAAAAGCAAATATACTGCTGTTAATTGTTTTTAAACAGAGTAGTTTTATTTGTTGTGTTTGAAATTCAAGTGGTTTGTAAATAGTGTCAAGAAATATAGGGTCATAATATTCCAATTTAAATGAATTTCGAATGTAGTGCTTTGGCCCTAAGCTTCATAATTTTATTTTTCTTTTTTTAAAAATAGATGAAATTCTGAAATTATTTGATTTCCTAGCTATCTATGAATTTTATACTAAAGTGAAAATAGCAGACACGTTAATATTAGTAGTCTTCTATGACCTTTTATATTCGAAACACGTAAACGACAACGACACGCAACCACTTTATTGATACAAGATGTTATATTTACGACATGCCAAAAAGCAAATACTACCATAGTGTACAACTACAAGTTTTTATTGCCTTTATCGAGAGGTTGCTAAGCTATAACTGAGGAACAGTAACGGCACTATAATGCCTCCCGCAAGAACCCGTTTAGAAGCGGCAATGTGCCAATGCGGAGTATAACTCAAATATTACCCTTTCAACATTTCATTCGGTTATAGTTCCAGTAACTTTTTATGGTATAGATTATAAATAGTATTATACAGAATTTATAATTTATTCATTTTTCAGTTTTTATATATGTACCCATTCTATTACACATTATATATACACATTCTATTTATTTTAGATAATATGTGCAACGTTTCAAAATTGATGATATGAAAATTGCCAGTATATAATATGTATAGTCCGAAGTCAAGTGTTTATTAAAAATATTATCATACATTATTTTTGTAATAACTGACGATGAAAGTTAAATTTATATTGTAATTAACGATGTGCCTGACACTGGAATATAACCACATCCCGCAACAAGCCAGATACAGACACAATAACTTATTAAGTGAAGTATCTTCTAATTTTGGAAGTCACTTTGTTTCTGTTTTGTTCGAAAAATTTAATAAATTCTTCTTTTATTTCAGTGTCAGAGCTAAGAAATCAAAATATACAATTTTTTAATATATAAATCAATTTGCCAGTGATTGCCTTTGGCAAAACTTGAATAAAAAGTCAATATTTGTTGTAATGCACGCATCGCGCGTCGTCACTTTACATCGTTATGTAACAACAACTTGCAAACAGCTCTTACCGATCCTCTAATCGTAGTCGGATACAACGCCAATACTCGAAAAAGTAACTTCCAACTGCTAATCCTAAGTGCAAGTTCCCCGATAAGGATTATGCCGAGGCCCTAATGGTCTTTATCCGCGGCTCAACAAGCGGCCATATCTCAACCTCCGTCGCTTGGCTCAACCGACTTAACTTTGGCAGGCGTCATTTCTCAAAAGGCATGCGGTGACGTACACCCCCTCTCCTTCGTCTAGAGATTAATAAATATAGGTGGACGTGGAAAAATGTACCACTTAATTCGGCCAAGATGAGCCGAGCGTGATGCGGACGCCGACTTAGTATTGCTTCTTATTCTAAGTTCGGATAGAATTTTCCTGTTTACTAGAAGTATAATTATAGTTAGTACTTCAAATGCAATAATATCAGTAAAATACTGAAACAATCAAATAACAGTTATTGGTGAGTACATAATATAATTTAGGAATGGCTAGATATTTTCGCATTTTTATCCATGTTCGTATTTTTTTAAGGACAATGATTATAACAAAAATCTTTTTTGGACTAACATAAAAATAACACAATTTTTACATTAAAATCAATAAATGAATGGACATACAATATTAACTTTGAAATAAATTTATCAAAAACTAATTAATCAATTTAATACTTTTAAAACTCAAACAATTGACATAGTTTTTAATGGAAAAATTCTTCAGGACGCAACAAGCGTTACATTTTTAGGGTAATTAATTAGTGACGCCAATATGGACATGAAAAGAACAAATAGATAGGATATCCAATAAAGTAAATAGGTTTGTTTATGCTTTGTGTACACTTATCAAAGTTGCAAGGAAGTTTAAATACTGCCATTACGGCCTACTTTGCGTACGTTGAATCAGTCTTAAAGTATGCCCTAATAATTTGGAGTAATGGTACTGATTTAACGAGATTATTTATTGCCAAAAACACTGCATCTTATTTCTCTGAAAATATTAACATTGCCATGTCTTTATTTACCAGAAGTGAGCACATTTGTAAATGGAAAGAACGAATAGATAGGATATCCAATAAAGTAAATAGGTTTGTTTATGCTTTGTGTACACTAATCAAGACGCAACAAGCGTTACATTTTAAAAAAAATGACACTATGTGTAAAACTATGTTTAATAACATGCCTGATAATATTAAAGATTTGCCATTAAGTCGTTATAAAATATATTATTCTGCAGACGGCTGATTGAAAATGCCATCTACTCGATTGATGAATTAAAGTAAGAAATAGTAGATACAACGTTTTTGCAAATAAATGTGTTGCACTTGACAACTGAAATTGAATTCCATAATATTTTCAATGTTTCGATTTGACCATACATATTTACCAATTTTGTATTTTTTTTTGTAAAATTGATGATACTATTGATATAAATTAGCGAATAATTAAATTACAAGTGTTTGCGCTTAATTTTGAATAATCATAAAAAACTGAAAACCCGAAAAAATAAAGAACTTAAGAAAAATGTGATTGTTTTACTCAGATGGGTAGATTAAAATTGAGGCAATAGATCGTTTGTCAGATCATTTTATTATTCAACCATTTAATCAGTTTCATTACTAGGGTTAAAGATTTCGTTTGTTACAAGAATTAACAATTCAAACAGAAAAACATATTTAACTTATAATTTAATCATCTTATGTATAGCATCTAGTTACACTACTAGCCAAACAGAGAGCTTACCGTGTTTGTCCTTGAACAAAAATTTCGAATGGATCTTATAATTTTGTTAAAATCAGATCCGTAAAGATTAAATAAAGGTATCTGTGCTTCAGAAGCAGTATTATTTATTTAATTCATGTACAAGTGTACATAGGCGGACTTAATAGTCCTAATTCCGTTGCATTATAAATTATCAAAAATGCATTTCTTTGGAGTTGAATTGGCATTTCGAAAATAGATGAAATTTCAATCTCATTGAAATAGAATGGGCCTTCTGGTGTCACGTTAATTCGTAAGAGTAGTATAAAAAAATATTACTTTAGGCAAGATAGACACAGGTTAAAATTTTCATTACACGCACAGGCGAGCACGCACGCCAGACTCTAGACGCGTCATAGTAATTGTGCCGAGTGCATGCAAAGGCAACCGGCGACGCTCCGGATCAACATAATGGCGGATGGGGGTAGCAAAAGGGAACGTATGAAAAAATAAAGGCAAACGCCGCTAGCGTATGCAGACGCAAGATTCGGTTACAAATTGTTTTGCTTAACGAGACGAGGCGACGGAATAGTTTTTGGGGACTTTGAACGGTTATATATTTTTTGTGCTCGAGTGTTGTTAAGCTGAAAGCTTTAAATACTATGTTTAGTTTTATCGATAGATACACGGCGCCTTTAATAGGAAAAATCATATTGTGTATAAAAAGTATATGCTATAACTATGAGTTCATTATACAGTATCAATTTATTCCTATTATAGAACTTGTAGATCAACAAATGACTAACATTAAAATAAATAAAATGAATATATACTAAATCTAATCAATAGTCTTTGGAGCTATTAAAAAACATCAACTCAAAGTATTTCTCAGGTGCTTAAAGCAATTTCATTTCACGCTAGACCACACAAGACAACATCATTCGGACAAAAAACCAATTTACACAATATAAATTGAGTAGAGGTATAAGCTTAGTGGAGACTACGTATGAACAACGTCATTTTGATCGAATTATATTACAAATTAAATAGAGTTAAAACTACAAAAGACTTTCAAGGAGGCTATACATACAACACTTTTTTATCTTTATCATTAAATAATGTGTCCATTTTTTATTATAATAGATTTTTAGTTTCCTTTTATTGTATGCCGGTCTTTAGATTTCATCTGTTATGTAAGTTTTGTTATTTTACTATCTTTTTATAATGGTACATAGTAAAAAACTATACGTGCAATAAAGTCGTTCAATCATGGATAGTAAATCTATTAAGTATAAAAATCCGGTATATTAAATTTTCTGCGATCTGTTTTTAATGTATTTAAAATAGTGTGATTTATTAATTATTTAGAACTTTAAGACGCTATTTCAAAATTAATATGACGATTCAAATATTTGGTTTATTTGAATCGTTATGTTATCTTGATTGATATTTAGGCTGTAGGTAATTTAAATTAACCTGATTAAACATTTATTTTTTTCACAAAAAATAATCCACATGCAAACAACTCACGCATTTAGACCTCGAACACGAGGCAAGATTTACGAACTTAGCTAAAAATAATCCTGAAATTTCTCGGAATTCCATGCCAATATAGATTACAACATAATCTCCATTTTCAAAGAGAAAATATTTAATAAATCCTTACCCTTTGCGGTGGTAGTGCTTGTCTTGGACTGTGTGTGTGCTTAGGCAAACATGATCCGTGTTTCTCTTTTCTATGGGACTTCAAACCTCGTAGCAGTCTTGAGAAAGTCGTCACTTTCTTTTTCGCCGTACCAAGGCAATTATCTGTCGGCAAAACTTTTATTTATTTATTTTAAATTTCAAAACTTGATAGTCCATTTTATATAAATCAGTACCTATGTCTTATCTTCTTATATAAATCAATATCTTTATTGTGTTTATAAACATAACACAATAAAGATAAAAATCGCAATATTTTAGAATTATATTTTTATTTATTTTATAGATCGAAGGTTCTCACTCTACATGTCCTAATGATGCAAGCCTTAAAACATACAGTATAATAAAAGAACTATTAATAATGAACTATAGTTATCTGTGGTTATCTAACGACTATTTGATGGTAACAAAATGGCTAAACAATATGTTTCACTGAGATGTGTAGTTTGAAAACAATTAAGGTTTTTATGGTAAGACAATGTAGAGTGACAAACTTGGCTTATGGTCTGAAAACATTTTGACGGTACGAACCATATAGTGGTCTCTTGGCAACATTTTACATGAAACGTTTTTGGTGGGATTATAGCTTCTGCATCTATAATACATTTTTCCATTTCTAAACCATTAATCTCTACGTTATCATATTGATATGGCGCATAATTGTGTATCCTTTGCTACGAAAAATATTACTATAACGAATAAATAACTCAATAATGTATGAGGAAATAATTTATGAGATGAGGTTACGCTAGCTTAGAAAACGTTTCGAGTTATATCTTAGTAAAGAGAAAGGTGATATTAGTAATCAACATAGTTTTAATTTGAAAATTAGAAATACACAAAGCATAGTTTTTAATTTTAATGATACTAATATTAGTACTTACCACTAGGGGGAAATTCGTAGAAATAGGCCGATCGCGGACTCAGACAACTGAAACAATGAAATAAATGTACTGTATAAATTACTCTATTTTACTAAATTAAAAATTAATGATCACCACTTAATTTAATGGAAATATATTATTAGTGTATCTATAACTAAATTACTCTATAACTTACTGTTGTATTTGGTTTAATTATAAAAACTTCTAAAACTAGTTTATGACTGTCTTTTTTCGTTCAAAGATTTAATTTTTGACAGGACTGTTTACAATATTTAACAACAAAGCTCATTTTAATTATGTCATTTTAAATGAGACAAGAGTATTTGTAACACAGTGGGAAGAGCGACGGAGCGGTATTGCCTGTTTGGCTAGTTATGATTTCCGCGAATGCTCGCTGCTCTTATGGTGTTCACCTACTAAAGATTGTTTACGTCATCTGCTTGCGGAATTCGCTGTCCGCACCGCTTTTACCGTATTTGTACCCATAACCATTTATTATAAAAAGGTACTTGGTTTCAATCATTGTCCGCCTAAAGCAAATTGACAATGACAGAAGCGAGAACGTCATATTGGAAGGTGTCGATTTATTTTGGTTCGATAATGATTTAAGCCCTGTAAGTTAGTTTTTTATAAGACGGTTAATATTTGGTATCGTAATGTGCTTTCAGTAAAATTAATCCCAAGTACAATATTACAGGTTAACTCCAACTTTAAATGAACCTTAATAGCAATAAATTCGAATTCAATGACAATTGTATAGAATTCAATTTGTATGTGGTGGGCCCGTCAATCAGGGGTGTAATTTAAAAGTCCCAGAAAAAAAATAAATAAAATGTTTGATGTGTAAAAAACGGTAATTATAGTGCATAGCGTTGTGCAGGCTAAGTGTACACTGGTGACATCTTGTCTTCACTTGTTTGTGCGCCGTTCTTTTGAACACATGACAATTAGGTGACTTCCAGAGAACTGATGAAAATATGGTGAAAGAAACAATGAATCACTATAACTTTTATCTCCAGTGTGAAAACAGGATCATATTATAAAATCTAATATTTAATAATACTTTGACATAGCGAAAATATGTTAGTTTTTTTTCTGATTGCTATTTTAAAGTTTAGCTTGACTAATCTGGATTAGATAAGCATAGGATTTTATATAATTTATTAATAAATCAGTATTTCAATGAAAATATGTATATGATGCCAGATCTTTTGCTGGGTGACCAGACAGAAATAAAAGCCGCAACATAGTTACCTGCTAATTTGATATAAACTTCCGATAATAATCCAACAAATAAATATCACGAGAAACGAAAGTGAGACCACATATGTTTCAGGTTGTAATCGTGTCTCAAGTTAAATATACGAATTTGAAACAATTGATAAGTTCTATCGCGATAAATAAATATTTGTTCTCCTTGAGTAATATTTTAACGGTAATATATAGACCGCCTTTCTGCCTAAAACACATCTACGCATGCGCTTTATTGCCAAATTAACAATTTATTTCAAATACGGTCTGCGTAAACATCCACTCCGCATTAGCAGAAAAAAAGGAAGATTTCCGTAGCATTGTATAAATATTTCATCGTTTGCAGGCTATGCGGAAAAAACCTTCCGCAAAATCGGTATTCAGTAAATGAGATATTAATCGACATTGGCATTAACAATACTTCCACTAATGATGATTGTGAATGGAATGAGTGCCGTTTAATGGGGGATAAATTAGTAAAGGGTTCATTTTGATGCTTACTGTGAAGTTTAACAAGACCCAATCAACGATTTTAATTTCGCGATAATAATTCATTCGTTAGTTACCTGCGTCCGTTCTGATGTGCCCTCAATTTGATTGAAATGGGGCGGCGGCAGTACGTAGAGTTAACAAAAAAAATTATAAGTCTTTTTGTTTTATGTAAAAAATCTTTAAAGAAAATAGAATTTGCATACTATTCGGAATAAATAGTGAAGATAATGAAGCCTACCCAAACAGCAGTCGAAAAGATTTTGAAATATGCATCTTTTGATTTTTAATATTTCTTTGGTCACTTCTATATCATGCAGAAAATGTAAATATTTTTCTAGGTTTGTTCTGAAAACCTTTAAATATTAAAAACAATTTATTTAAACTCTCAAATATTGTGCTGAATAGCACTGAAAGCTATAAATCAATTGACATGGGTTTGTTTCATATCAGCATCCTGCAACGCGGCAGTGCCAATGAATATTCATTTGGGAGCTAGTTAAGTTTAATGCTAACACATATGGAATTATATTCTGTCACTAGAACATGTATGCTATCAATAAATTAATCATAAATAATCACTTTATAGAAAAGATAAATATAAACAAACTAATATTAAGGCTACTACGAAATTTAATGTACTCATAAAAAAACATATTTTTAGTTTATAAAATCCTCGATTCTATAGACCAATATTTTTTTTATTTAACGGCCTCTATGGTTGTGTGGTTTACATCTACCGCATCTCAGATAATATTCCTAGTCAAGCTTCTGTTTATAAGTTATATCTTCTTAAACTAGGATCAGAAGAACATTAGTGATATTGTTCAAAGTCCACAGATACCCGAAGAATGTTTAAAAAATCACCAATTTCGTCATCTAATCACAACTTCACTTTATGTTAATAAAATCAAAAGCACAGAATTGCTTTCAGAATGGGTTGTAACAAACCGGTCTTAATTTAAGAAACGGTGAGCCCGATAGCAGGGAATAACGAAGCAATGCGCATTTATGCAGGCACTTAGATAAATCCCACCAAGTTAACGATGTATTCCGCGCATCTTCCTTCTCGTTCCCTCTTTACCCCCAGAGTTCACTCCATATCTTACTGTTTGCCGCCGTTCACTCGCTCGTTCCTTGTAGAACCGCAATCTCCTGAGCTTGTTAGCTGGATTCCCGTCGGTGCATACTGTTAATTGACTTAATACGTATGTCGAATTGTCGATATTGTCACAGCAGTAAAGTCAACTAGTGCCAATGCTAGAAAAGGTGATGTTTCAAAATATTTTGCAGACATTTCTCTTCAAAAAACGTTGAATAGGTGATAAGTGAAAATGTTGGATGCTTGAAAAGTGCTCTTACGAGCTTTTCAACTATGTCATTTAAGGACATTTGCAAAAGAATAGCTAGAACGCACTATTGCACAGATGCTACGATCGAAATGTATTAAAGCTAAAAATGATTCAAGGTATGGTATTTATATAAAAATGATTTTTCACACACCTACACACGTATTTTACACCTACTACCTTTAGCGTCTACATTCGCGACTTAAATACAATATATTTTTACATATATGTGTGCAGTCGACACCGGGTTAGTTTGCGTGCTATAAAAGGCCAATTTTCATTTTGGATTTTAAGCAGTTAACTTCAAAATTGATCGCAGAAATGTAACATTTTATTGTAATCTGATGGACACGTAGCGTTTTTCTTAGTCTTAAACGTTTTGTTTGTTTAAAGTTTTTAAAAAGGTTGCCGAAAATTCTATAATCTATATTATAAAAATATTTAAAATGAGTTTTAAGTAACTAACTATAAATTATAAACGATTCTCCTTTTTAAAGCGACTTTAAAACAATACAAATTTATCACCTGTTACAATGCGCTATCTACTGCAATAAAAACTTTAGTGCAAGAGAACACAGTTATTTGTCATAACAACCAGTTATTTCGAATATAAAGTCATAACATTTTATTGACCAACGGGTGCCTTGGTTTATTATAATAATTCTAACCCAATATTAATAGAATTATGGCTCCAACTGTGACTGCAATAAGCATAATAAGACTTGATTTGGAACACATATAATTAGTATTAGTTAACTCAAGTAAAGTTATTTATAGAATTATATGAGATTTCTCGAACATTATCTTATATTCTTTTAATGGATCTGACAAATTCTTTGGTATTCTCAAATGTAATTTATCCATGCACTAACTAGAATGTCACTTTACAAATACAAAATGAGTAATACAAAGAGATTATTTTCTCAAATGCCAGTTTGTCTAATCCTAAACCAGCCCTGATTCGTCTGCTGACGCTTGAGCTGTCAACCCGATAGATCATTGAGGGTTTTCATTTTGACAGACGAATCAGGGCGTCAATTTTGCGGTAGAGCTGCTAGTTTCGTCTTGATTACAACTGTTACAGCTATAAGCTGCCTCGATAACTTAAAAATTATTAATTAGTGTCAAGAAAAATTTGAAAAATTTAGAAAGTTAGTGATAGAAATTATCCATCATAATGTCAAGTCATCTAAACTAAGAAATTAGATTTTAAATAACATAGTTTAGATTTCTTGGAGATTAAAGCATCTATATCTATTTTTCATTTTCTACCTAATTTTAATATTTGTTATCCTTAGTGTATCTATATTAATATTCATATCATCCATAAAGTATAAATTTAGAAGAGCGAACGAAAGTTTTAATACCTATATCTATTATATTTTCACTTGCATCGAGGTGTTAAGACATCGTTGAATAAGTAATATACCTGTTTAATGTAGTTTAAATGCAAAACTTCATAGTAAATAACGCAACGAGAGATCTCGGTTGGCGATCGTACGTTTACGATGTAATTCATTAGTAAACTATCGCAGTGTTAAGATCTAATTAGCATCTTGAGACGTTCTGAATTAGTTGCGTAGGCAACTGAGATGAGTCTGTGTGCCATTAACGTTAGTAAAGCAACGTATATTTACTAATATACAAATAAAAAGATTAGAATTTCATTAAAAAAACACTTTATTTAAGACATTTCAATTACAGTCAATTTATGAGCTGGATTGCATACATATTGATATCAAAGAAGGATCAAAAATTCACTTATTTTTAAATTTCATCGACTGCGATTTATATTTTATTTATACATGTCATTTTATTTCAGCATCTTATTTTTATTAAAATTATAAATTGTTAGACTATAAAAAGAATACAGTTTCTGTCTCAACAATATATATATATATATATATTTACGAACAAATAATTTATTGCATCACTCAAAGTCTACCGCTATCCGTGATAATACTTTAAATCAACTCCATTTAATTGGACGCCCCGTTGAGAATTGGATTATGCTTAAAGTGAATTATTTCTCACAATGTTTGCCATTTCTTCGAAACGTGCAAGTCGTAGCCCGGATATATCCATCAGGTGACTAATTTGAATTTATTTAGCTGCTCTCTTAGACAATTTATATAGTGTCAGCTATGAACCGACATTCATGATACGAAACAAGATAGCCAAACCGCAATTAACGTCATAAATATACAAAGTAGTACCAAAAAGAAATAGGACATTTCAAAACTCTACTCATAATTCTATGGTACGGTTGTCAGCGAGTTCAGTCCACGAAAAGAAAACAACTTTCGCAAGGGTTCGTCCTAGGATGGATGACCAAAAAGTAATTATATCGTCCTTTTCCGTGCGTTAAATGCATAAACCCTTTGATCTCGGGTACACCTACAGTCGGCAACACCTATTAATTAACACTTGGACCACGTAGTGGGTAACGGTCTCTTGTTCCTATTTGATATCATTTGTAGGGAATGCCTGTGCCCCAGCCTCTGTGGCATAGGCTAATATTGCTTTAATACCAGTGCATTAAATAATTATTTTTAATAAATAATTCTTTGCTTGTTGTTCTTAATGCTATGTTGTGATGTTTTTTACTGTTAAGGCATGTATTTAACTTCACATAATTAATTAATATGGTATTTGCATGCTAGTGTAATAGCTAGTGTAATAATAGCTAAGTGAGCTGAACTGTAATTTTCTTTTCTTTTAAATTCAAATCCTCTTTTAAATTATAGTCGTGGAAAATAGTTGTGCAAAACTTCGAAATGCGAAATAATAACTCTCTCATCTCGTAGTATGTATTTGTTTAGCTAAAAGAAACAAAACTTCGTACTGAATTATTGCGTATGTTGTTTCTCAGCTAAAAATTAAGAAAAAAAAAAGAAATAAACTCAAGTCCCAATCCTTAAATGAGTTCGTATAGTTCTTGACAGCCTATAGTAATTAATATATATAAGTATAGGAAGTTGTGAAGCTGGATCTTAATATTTATAAGTTTGAACATCTTTTATATTTCGTGGAAAAAGATAACCCATTATGTCAATGATAAGCAGTTATATTTAAGGCAAGAAACGTAAACATATATATATATATGAAGGCGAGTAGTCAGAAAGTGCTCTTCAGGCGTGTACAAAATATAACGAGATGAGCGCGATGTCGTCGGATGTCTTTACTCCTCGGCGATCGGAAACAGAATGCGTGCCAAAATGGCGGCAACTCGCTTTTTGTTAACGAACTGTCAAAGTCAGTGTTACCATTCTAATAAAATTAAAAGTATCGATGATCACGCAAAAGCATACAATCGAGTAACTAACAATTAAAAAAAAGAAACTAAATCAAACAATCTTCGTAAAGATGATGGAGACATTTTGCGACATATAAATATATTATTATATCCACAAAAAAAATCAATTTTAATGATTACAACATTGTGATAAGCCACTGAGGGTCGTCTACAATATCAATATTTCGCATCAAGAAACAAATATTTTATAATTCACATACATACTTGTTTAATAATATTCTAATATTTTTATATTTAATAGAGAACGCAATTAACGTCTTACAAAAAATAAGAATAATGCAGGTGTTTCTTGTTTTATATTCGATGTACTTAATTCGAACACAGCCATTCGAAAAAGTGATGTTTACGTTTTAATATGATATATTTTTTTTGTGTTAAAGTATTTTTCAAGCAGGCGGGTAGTTGATTATTTAATCTTGGCATCACATATTGTATAGTTCTTTTGCCGTACTTAATTATTTGCGCGCGATGTGCATAACCGTTCATGAGTGACGGAACGCGTGTGTGTAGGATGTTTATTTTTTTAAAGAACATCGTGAATAAAAAATTTTTCCTTGATTAAATTATATTTAACTTGTCGATGGATTGGTAAAACCCTAGTGACGAAAAAGGTCTAATTCGTTAGTTTTTAATCGTTTCTTTATCTCCGGACATACGATTGTTTTTAATATTTTTGGTTGTAGTTCATATGTGTTATTTAAATATTTAGTATAAGTTCGTCCATAGCTACTTAGTGCGTATTGAATGTATGATCCAGCCAATGAATTCTATAGCATCATATTAAACTTGAATGGAAAACGATCTTTTACTATTTTCATGTTACCTAAAAAGTGCCTTATTTTATCACAAACTTGTTCAATATGAAATCCCCAGTTGAATGTGTCGTCGATAATAACCCCGAAATAAGTATGAGACTTTACTACTTCTACAATAGGACATTTACAAATCGTGCAAGCAAGTATAATCATGAACAATTATATTTGCAAGTGAGGTTGTTTTAAATGCGCAGATTTAAAATATAACAGTTTTGTTTTACTGGCTTACAAAATCAGCCCAGCATCATGACGCCATTTGATTAGTTTATCAAAATCAATCCTGCAATTCCATTTTACCAATTATCAGGTAGGTATCAGCGAATTGATAATATGTACAATTTTCAATACTGTTATATGTGTTATTAACATAAGAAAAAAAATGTTAGGGAGCCAAAACTGATCCCTGTGCTGTATGTACCCTTTTTAGTTTAAGGGAAATAAAAACAATGGCGGTATAACCTAGAGACATTATATAAAAAGATCCTTAGCTATTCAGACCCAAAATTTACGTCACATAATAAATTCAGGTATCTAAAACATATTGCAATTTGATAGAAGTTTATTAATCTTCTTATAAGATTTTACAGGTTCGCTTCTGAATATAGATTAAGTTCTACAAGGCGGTTATTTTCCACTGCTGTGTAAATTCAAACATTTTTGGACTGAAATTTATACAATGTTATTTCGTAATAATGACACAACTATTCATAGAATCCTTCTTGCTATAGAAATTGTAGTTCATTTTAAACTCTAATGAACATTTTGAAGTATTTTAACTATTTGAATTGAATAATTGAATAAGCCAAATTATATTATAAAATCCATTTACATAACTGTTTTGCGCTAGGACGAGGAAATTTATGAAAGTATGAATAAATTTCATTCTTACATAAATTTTATACAAAACTTACGAACATATCCAAAGAATTTTAAAATTAGAATTAAAAATTTATATCTTTAATTTACCTAAATTTATATTTTTAAATAATCTGACTGTGTGTACAATATATTTATTAATATCTTTTGTCTGTATCTTCGTCCCTGTAAAAAATAATTTTGTACAATCCGAGAATTCCGTTTATAAATAAACAACTTAGTATACTTTTGATTTTGTATACAAAAAAATCTTTGTCATAATGTAAAATTTTATCTTTTCCAATATTCTCACCGTCACGCAAAAACAAGAGGGATTTATTATCAATTTGAAGTTCATTAAGCAAAATGTAAATAAACATAGCACAGTACTATCAGGCACTAGGATATCAAAACTCAACACATAACATTCTGCTCTTATCACATTTCTCAACCCCATTAGTGATTTTGATCAAGTAATATGACTATCGGATGTTAGATATCGAAATAAAATTAAATTTATTCAAAGCAAAGTCGTACTGCAGCTTAATGCTTCTCATTTTTACCGGCAGCTATGATCCGCTTCAACCCAACTCAACTATTCGCGGAGGCCTCTGTCGCCATCGGATGTCTGATTTCAATTTAGATTAGCGCTAAACATGTAGCGTAAAAGCTTATCTAACGAGTACACCTGTTAAACTCCAAATAATTTATATACGAGTAGGTAACGCCCCATGCCATTCGGGCTGTCGTTAACGTAACGAACTTAACCGCGAATTTCCTTATTCGTTCCGGACGTTACGGCGTTACGGAAACAAATAGTTGTAAGAAATGGTTTAAGGCTAATTATTTCTTGTCTTCCAGATTTAGAATGATTTTGACTACGATATGATTTTTTTCTGAAAATTAATTTCATTATAAAAATATCTCAGGGTTATGTTAGAAGCTATAAAAATCATATATAGAAAAAGTAATTTACTTCTGGGTAATGAAATTGGTTCTTATTTTAGGCACGTATATTGTGGTGCTCATCTGACTGTGCCTATCTCATGAGGGTGTGAAGATATCCATAAAATGTTAAAAATCTAATTTATTTAAAATTAACATCTTTTGATGTTTTCCAATTTGCGCTAGTAAAATTTATAATAGAATTTAAATACTACTCCCACTTCTCCAAGTTTATTTTCAATATTATAAGAAAAGTATTTTCAACACTCAATAGGTATCTTAAATATAGACACTGGTAGTATTAAGCCTGATTTAAATGGTGAACTTATTGAAAATTTATGGGGTCTCAAAGGACATAGAGTTTAGTTAAGCCTCTTGTAGAACTAAAACTGTTTATAATCTCTGTACCAAAGTTATAGTACCGGAGATTCAATCTGCGTTAGTCGGGTTTCTCATTTTATTTTATCATTATTAATAATATTTACATTTTGTCATTTTTGCTGCTTTTAGTTATAAATGCAAAGATATACGAATTCTTTAAGTTTGAGTGACGCAAAATTCATAATTAACCTTTGAAATTGTACTGTTATATTTCCTCTTAATAACTCATAAAAGGAACAAGTCTTTTACAGAAACATAATCCATAAATCAATTTCTTATATCAACTGTATGACAGTATATTCAATGCCTTTATTCTCTCCTAAGGTACCTGCGATAATTAAGGCCCGGGTTATAATGAGGACCACTATTGAATTACATGCTGAAACACTTCTATTCCTAATCAAAATTAACTCGCACCTGCGTAAAATCAATACATATATGCTAAGTAAATAGCAGTACTGAGGCGGGTACTTAGAACATTGGCCTCAACTGCGGCAGTAACCTTAGTTTAAATTTAGTTTACGCTCACCTCTGATAGTTGTGTTGTTGGTTGTGAATAAGTGGTTGCGTAGGTTGAGCCAACAGCAACTGTTTCTGTTGTTGTTGCCGTTGCAACATTTGTTTACCGAATACGCCGTACCCGAAGCCGTATATCTCATCTTCTTCTTTATCTGTGAGGCAACTTGAAGGCTGAAACAAATTATATAAAATTAGATTCCCTTAAAGTGCTCTGATTTGGTCTCAAGAACCCTTTATGAAATTTTCTTCAAATATATTATAGTCTGACGCGAAACTTCGATAAAAATTGTATTTTAATAATGTTATATTATTGTTATTTTAAAGGCAGTGTGTCAATAAAATAATTATGCTTAATTTATCCTTTCAAATAATACTAATGTTCGTTCAAGGTTGAACTAAATTTTATATTGATTGGGTTACTTTGCAATAAGATTTAGAAACATGTATTGTGAATTATTATTTCGTTTCACTACATAGAAAGATTAATCAAAATCAGTGAACAATTTAAAAAAAACATCAATAATTAATTGTTTTTCAATTACATAAAAAACGACTTAATTAAATTTTATTTTCTTTTATTTTTCTTATTAGAAAAATGATAGCAACAAGCTTTTATATAATATCTTTTAAGCAAACCCTTTCATTTGATATCACGAAAATGCAAAAAAATGACCAGGTCACCATCTTGTACCATCCACCATATTAAATTTTAAATTATGTAACTTTTCTAACCATTCATTGTTATCTAAATCAAACCTGTATGTTACAGAATTATAAAGCAGTTATTCTCAACCGATTAAGGTAAGGTAACCTTAATCGGTTGAACTACTTTAGAATTCCATCGCAAGACTTGAAAAACACACATAGATACATTGGAAGTTAAATAAAAGCTTGTAACTAACAATAGACTATTATATCTCAATCCTCAGTTGAAACCCATCATAGATAATTACGTTTAAAACATGTCTATTTTTGTTTAACCGTATATTTTAGGTGCACTTATAGACAATATTCTTTAACCACGAAAGCATTACTCAAATAGTTAAAAACAAATTATTGATTTAAGTTTTTAACATTAACATGTTATTTAATAAAAACAATAAATAATATAATATATTCATTCATAAAATTCGCTGTCTTTTCCTCTCTTTATAGATTCTTTTCCTATTTTTTATTGTTATTTTTATTCATATTTATTATTGAGTTTTCTATTGGTCGTTCATAATTATAGTAGTTCAGATTTTGTGTTTGCCCATCACTAGGCTTTTAATTATTCGTCGATCAAACTTTGGGACAACCTGAATTATTCTAGGGAAATACGCATTATGATATAAAATATTGTACAGATACTGAAGTATCAAATGCAAACAGTATCATTTTCAATTAATTACCAAGACAAACGCATAAAGTAACATTCTGTTCATCTGTAAGATGTATTTATGAGGCCGCCACCATGACCGTCCAAGTACAGAATCAGCAAACAAGTCCTATACCGTTGCATCGAGGAGTGAGACAAGGAGACGTTATGTCTCCGAAATTGTTTACTAATGCAATGGAGGATATGTTTAAGATGCTGAACTGGAAAGGACGTGGCATCAACATCAATGGCGAGTACATCTCTCACTTGAGATTTGCTGACGACATCGTCATCATGGCAGAAAATCTGCAGGACCTACAACAGATGCTGAATGACCTGGCTGACTCTTCTATGCGCATCGGCCTACGGATGAACTTGGATAAAACCAAGGTCATGTTCAACGAACACGTACTACCGGAACCGATTGCAGTATGCGGTGCCGTTCTCGGAATTGTTCCAAAATATGTATACCTCGGGCAAACATTGCAGTTAGGTAGAAACAACTTCGAGAGCGAGGTAAATGGAAGAGTTCGGCTAGGTTGGGCAGCGTTTGGGAAACTACATCGAGTCTTTACATCGTCGATCCCGCAGTGCCTAGAGACAAAAGTCTTCAATCAGTGCGTCCTACCCGTTATGACATACGGAGCCGAAACGTGGACACTGACGGCACGGCTGGTCCACAAGTTGAAGGTCGCTCAGCGCGCTATGGAAAGGGCTATGCTCGGCGTTTCTCTGCGGGATCGAATCAAAAATGAGGTGATCCGGCAGAGAACCAAGGTTATCGACATAGCCCACCGGATTAGCAAGCTGAAGTGGCAGTGGGCTGGCCATATTAGCCGCAGAACCGATAACCGTTGGGGTAAACGAGTTCTTGAGTGGAGACCGCGTCTCGGCAAACGTAGTGTAGGACGTCCTCAGGCGCGGTGGAGCGATGATTTGCGCAAGATGGCTGGCAGGAGCTGGATGCGAACAGCCGAAAATCGAAATAGATGGCGTGCAATTGGGGAGGCCTATGTCCAGCAGTGGACGAATATGGGCTGATGATGATGATGAACATTCTGTTCTACTTACCGAATATTTTCCAGGCACATAAATAGGCTGCGAATGCGACGTGGTCAGATTGTTCAAGGCTAACGATCCAGGGCTGGCCGATGGTGGAGTCTGCGGAGTGCCTGGACCCCCGAGCACTCTCATTCTTGGCGACATCTCTTCCCACTCATGTCTCCTTAACTCTTCCAAGTGGTCGAGAACATCTCCATAATGTGTCGAGAAAAGATCCGCGTAACGAGACGCTAGACCTTCTAAGTAACCTCGATCCCCATCCTGCAAAGAAAAGATAATAAATAATAACGTTACTTTAATATTGTTTTAGAATGAAAACAAACAGCTTGAAATTCGACAAGATTGTGTAATGAAAATATTTCATCCCACGTAAATCTATAATTTATTTATAAGTAAAATGTTATTACGGAAAGCAAGTTAAGATATAGCTGGCTTCCGGTATGCATAGTTTTCAACTTGAATAAAGATAAGTTTGACGTAGGCTTATGACATTATAATTTTAATAATAAAATCTTTGAGATCCATTTTTTCTAATGGAACCGACTTCAAAATTTAAATTTAAAATTGATAAATAATACTTATCTCATAAGCGATTAATTCAAGAAAATGGTATTGAAGTCGGAAGCCTATCATTCAATTAATAAACCTATTTCAGATCTCCGCCGTTTTTAAGGTTGGTAGTCGATTTAATTTTGTGTTTAAGGATTAATTTCATGCTTTTTAGTGATATTGATTTATTTTATATAATAGGTAACACTTTATTTTAAAAACACAAAACACTTTATTTGGTAAAACATTTAATATAAAATACTATATATAGTTAAAAGTAATCAACATAGTGAGTCTTAGAAAAGAAAATTTTATTTGCTCGGCATAATTATATCCAATAGTTTTATACTCATATTCTAAAGAGGAAAGAATTTATTGCTTGTTTGTTTGCATCGGATAGGCTCCGAATTGACTGGACCGATTTATAGAAGTTTTTCAACTACATAATACGCGTTGGACATAGACATAGAATTTGCGGGGAAACAGCTAGTTGGGTAGAAATAGGTCCACAATTCAAGAAGAAATCGATTGACATACCTACTTTCATAAAAAAAAAATACATACTACTTGAACATAAAAAGTCCTTTGTTTTTTAGCTGAAATATTAGGTTGGGGAAAAAGGTCTTTTCGCATATAGTACGTTAAAACTTGTAATAAAATATTTCTAACTACACCATTTATATGTACTTATTTTCAGTATCATTAAAAAGTTTAAATTTTAAAGAAGATATAATCCGAATTCAAATTAGGAAAATGTGATTTTCAATTGTTTTTCTTAATGTCCAAAATTAGTAAATATAATGAAGAAATTCGATGCATTTTAAAATTTTATTACAGAAAGGGTAAAAATGTAACGCAAGCAGCGAAAAAAATTTGTGACGTTTATGAAACTAGTGCAGTTGCTGTGAGTGTAGCACAAATTTGGTTTAAGCGCTTTCAGTCCGGAAATTTTGATGTCAAAGATGCACGTCGCTCCGGTCGCCTTGTTACAGATAAAATGGATAGCGTTTTTGGAAAACTGGAGCAAGATCGGCATATCAGTATTTACGACGTAGCTGAAGAATTGAGGATTGACCACAAAACAGTTGCGGCATATTTGAAAAAAGCTGGCTCCAAAAAGAGTTGGATATTTGGGTACCTCACGAGCTCGCTGAAAGAAACCCAATGAACCTAGTACTCATTTATGATTCTTTATTACCTCCTCCTTTTGGATTTTAAAGTCAGTTAAAAAATTTATATTCTTATTCTAATATTAAGTAACATGACACTTAAAAATAAAACATAATTTTCCATTAAAATATAATAGGTACAAGAGATGTTAAGTTTTCGTGTTAATTGTATTTAATTATTATTTATAGTTGATAAGATAAGGTGTAACATTATCTTCTGAAATCTAAATTAATTCCAAGAAAGTTCCAAACGGAATTCTTATAAAGAAAACCGTGATAAACGAAAATTAACTTTCAACCCGCAAAAGAGCAGCACTAAATGCGAGGAATGGCCGTGGCCCGTTGCAAAATGAGAATTAATACAAAAGCCAGAAGTTAAGCCGACCGCGGAACGCTCGAAAGTAACAAAATAAACAAAGCAGAATAACTACGCCGTAAAGGGACTCTTTCATTAAGATTCAAAAACCAAAGAAACAATATAATTCTCGTGTTGATAAGCAAGGATCTGACATAAACATGCCGCTTTAAATCTGTTTAATGATGAAAAGTTACATCATATAGGAAGTACAATCTACTATTACGTGTTGTCATTGTGAACTTAAACAATAATTATTCTTTATTATCTTATCGTCATAAAATAGCTTTCTTCAAATAGGTACTATAATTCAACGTTGAAATTGTTTGTAATAGAATTCATAAGGTTTCAGTAGACAAAGTGGCCTTAAAAAATTCTATTTGCAGTTGCATCTTGGATGGTGGACTAAGTTCAGACTTAGAACGAAAGGGCAAAAGTTTACCTGGCGATGCTTCCTAGCAAGAAACGTAATTTAAAATTAAACTAAAATTCGACATTCATCAATGAAGTACACACTTAGAATTCAACCAGTGGGTAGCGCTTCGAGTCAAAGATGGCCAAGGGTTTATTTCCATTTTTAAATGAGAGCGGCTGAGAGCTTTGTCGGCTCCGAGTTTGTGCTCTGCGTTTTAAGTGGATTAAATCGCTCCACGCTCGTAAAAGCGACAAGTGCTTCAGCTAAGAATTAAAGTAACTGTTCGACTTTTGCATGAGAAAGTGCTCGCGGGACCTTGCTTCGCACTCACTCGGCGCAATTTGATGCGGCGCACGGTTTATTTATTTTTAGCGGAAATCCTGTTCAATCGAGGTTTCAGCGGAATACCATCGCTTTGTGAATACCTAATGAAAGAAATTCATTAACACTGTCTGAATAGAGTGCTCGCTGGGTTAACTCTGCGCTCCCCACGCTCTCAACAGTACAACTTTTAAACACAATTTTAAAGTCGACATCTAAGTTTCAACCAACGGAGCATTAACATGAAAGTGTGCACAGCAAAGTAAGAATATAACGTATTGAAGAACTAAGTCAAACAATAGCTATAAAAGACAATAATAAACGTCTCGTGAAGCTTAGGCTGTCGGAATAACAATAGCTGTTGAATTTAAATGGTATATTTTGACCACATCTAGTCACTTGAAGAATAGAAATGATCTCATTGAACAGTTTGCCAACAACTGAAATGCTTACGGTAAACAACCCACAAAAATTAGGTACTAAGAATTGTATAAGATAAGAATTATACACTGTTTTCGCCTATTTAATCGATTTAATTGTAACTAATTTAGTACAAATAAAACATGGATGCATAATAATCTGAACATCTTTGACATGTAAAATTTGATTTTTAATCAGTACCTTAACACAATTTTGAAGAATTGTAAATTTTTAGTTAAATTAAAATTATCAAGCAGTCTAGCTGTACAGTCGCAGAATAAATCATCTTGAAAAGTGAAGCCATCTTTAATTTCTACCTGATCACCATACAGTCCACATCGAAGAAAAGCACCATCACCAATAGTTTTGATGTCTTTCAATATGTTGAATCTTTGTTTGTGAGTGAAGAAATATCTCTAATGTGAATAAGACGAAAAAGTAATGTTCGCAATTTAATGAGAAACAAATTCAAATAAATCGAATCTTCTCTGAATTGTATTAGAAACAACAAGAAAGACAATTTTCAGGCATTCACTTAAAACACTCGGAGTGAAATAATCGATTCCGGCGTAGCCGAAACGTCTGCGCCATCGAACTTACTTTAAGATGAGTATAAATTGCGAAACTTGGGAATTATTTGCGCCTCTCTTCGATGCCAATTTACTCCGTTTTTCCAGAGTTTCATTATAACAAGTTTAATTGAAGACCGCGTCCGGTGCATAAATTTTAAACTTTTGGCATGCATTTTAATCTGCTTACTGTAGTTGGCGGGGGTAATGGTTAGTAAATGAGTTTCTAGTTCACTTTAAACTGTTCAGTCATTAATAATATAAAGTTATGTAAAGTGTTGCCGGCCGCTGCGGCATTTAGAGCCTTTTGAACATGCATTCCGCACATGCACTTCACAAATGCTTCATCAACAACGTTTTGTAATCTTGTCATTTATTTTGTAAAACAGTTATCCACTAATCTGTTTGCTTTTATATTTTTCTCTAATCTTGACGTATAGATAAATTTACTTTTTAAACAAAAAAGATTTCTTGTTCAAAAAAGGTAGAATGAAAAATTAACTATCGTATTTCCATAGAATAATAATTTATGTACAAAATGAACATAATAAACTACAAAGTATTTCTTTAATCGATAAATTATACTCATCAAGCGAACAGATGCTGACAAGCTAGAAGTTACCATTAAGGTTGTGTCGTTAAACTGGTATCGGACGCTTTGTAATGAATATACGGCACATTTACGCATCACATAACGATTCTTGAACATTAAATTTTATTTGAAAGTGATCGCGGGTTATTAGGTTTTCTCATAAGGCTTTAATCTCTATTACTGCGATTTGCATTTTACATGAATATCGACGCTGCAGGTTGGTTTTCTATCGCCATCAAAAAGACTTACTTAATACAGTAAAACTAATTCCGCGTTGCTTACATGTATACAAATAACTTGTATTGTCATCATCATCAGCCCCGATACGTCTCTACTGCAGGAGCTCAAGCCTTCCTTATGAATGGTTAAGGAGGATGAGCCATGACCCTCCACGCTGACCCAATGCGGATTGGGCGGTATTAACGACTGCAAATGCAGCCAGTACCAATGGCTGAACGTGCCTTAAAGCAAGCACGGAGTAACTCGAAATACCAATTATTTGGTCACCCATCCCGTGACTGAACTTTGCGAAAGTTGTTTAACAACAAAGATCGCAGGCCGCGGTGCTTATTCACTACACCACCGACCTACTTGTTAAACTCGTATAGGATTGCGTAATCCGCGTTTTCAAATATACTTTTGTTCATTTTTATTGTCCTTAAGAAAACAACTACCCGAAGCGCAACGCGGAAGTAATACGATTTATAACAGAGCTGCAAGGAAACTAGATGCATATATTTATATATTATATACTGAAATTTTATGATATCTACGCTGCTAGTTTGAAAATAAATTCTGACGTAGATTATGGTGAAATAAGTTTTTATGGTGAAATATTTTTTTATGTAGTTAACTATAATGGGTAATTGTA